TGTTTGTAATTTTAAATTTTTATTTTCATCCACAAACTTTTCTTTTCAAATTAATACCGTGACTTAGACCAAAAATCTTGAAAAAATCTCAGCCTAGGTGAGAGACGGGAGCACCTTGACTGATTAGTAGCACGACTCGTTTCCTTTTGTTATGGGTAGGTGTTTCTCCTCGGTTGGGTTGAGGGAAGGAAGAGGACATTTGCATTGCAAAGGATTCAATCGAGCCACAAGTTCTACGACTACCTTGTTACTGTTAGATAAACACGACTCTTCACAATGGTATGAATATTGTCCACTTTGAGCATAAGCTCTCATGGCTTTGCTTTGAGCTTCTCCAAAAGGCCTCGTACTAATGAAGAGAGTTTTCCTTTATTATAAACTCACGATCATTCCCTACCTAAATTAGCCGATGTGGGACACCTCCCCTCGAACAAAGGACACCTTCCCTTAATCGAGACTCGACTCCTTTTTCTTTTAGAGTCTTAGTCATTTTTTTACTATGTCTTCCGGGAGTCTTGACTCATTTTTTCATTTGGAGTCCTTTGTTCGACATTTGAGGATTCTATAGACATGGCTAAGTACAAGGCATAACTCTGATACCATGTTAGATGAACACGACTCTCCATAATGATATGATATTGTCCACTTTGAGCATAAGCTCTCCTAGTTTTGCTTTGCTCTCCTAGTTTTGCTTTGGGCTCTCCCAAAATAACTTATACTAATAGAGAGAATATTCATCGATTATAAGCTCATGATCATTCTCTAAATTAGGACAGATTTTATCCAACAATGACCTAATCAAAGATCTGGACTAATTTCAAATGATTACTTTCAATATTTAACTAGTAGGAAATAAAACAAAATGACCAAAATATATGAACTAAAAAAATACAAATTTTAAAATAAAATTTTAATTTTTTTAGTAAAATATACTTGAAATAGAATGATTAAAAAAAAAAAAAATTTAAAAAAGGAATGGTTGGAAAAGTTTGGTGGGGGAAGAGAGGGGACCGGGCGTACCGTACTATACGACGCACACAGCGACAATACAGCTGAGCCATTGGCTGTGACGAAAAGGCCACAAACAGGGGCGCCCACGGCTGCTGCTCGAAAATCAACCAACACTTTGAATTCCCAAATCAATTAAAGAATTGGTCAGGAGAGTTCGTCTACACCAAATCAACCTTGAAGATCCTCTCGATTCCGAATCAAATCTGTCGGATCTCACTTTCCAACTGTCACATTTCAACATTTTTCCCCACTATGGAATCAATCCATAGATATATATATATATTACTCTCCAATCCCCTTTTTCCCTTACTCTCATTCAATCTTCTTCTGTTCTTCGTTTCCTTCTGTTGAATCTTCATTCTAGCTATGGGTGTTGCTGTTGAATCGACTCAGTTCCATGTTCTTGCTGTTGATGATAGCTTCATCGATAGGAAATTGATCGAGCGCCTCCTCAAAACCTCGTCCTATCATGGTATTTCACGATTTCATTCGCTCTTTTGTTTTAGCATTGGAGCTTTTCTCGGATTTAGGGCTAATCAAGTGTTTGATTCTCTGTTTTGATTAGTTACTGTTGTTGATTCCGGCAACAAGGCCTTGGAATTTCTTGGTCTTGTTGGAGATCATGATGATGATGATGATGATGATGATGAACCGGACTCCGAAATCGCTCCCTCAAATCATCATCAAGTACGAGCCCTAATTCTCTCCGTCTCTCTCTGTTTCTCAGGATTTATCCTCCTTTCTTTCTCTAACTTGCATCTTCTCGGATCGTTTCTGTTTTCAGGAAGTGGATGTAAATTTGATCATCACGGATTACAGTATGCCTGGAATGAGCGGCTACGATCTCCTCAGGAAGATCAAGGTTCGCCCTAGCTTTTAATATTCTTCTTTCTCCATTACCAGATTATCTCAACCAAAAGGAAAAATCTCCTAAATCCACTGTGAATCAATCACTAATTTTGATGCCATGAAATTGCAGGAATCGAAATCTCTTAAAGACATACCGGTTGTGATTATGTCCTCTGAGAATGTACCTTCAAGAATCAACAGATGCTTGGAAGAAGGAGCGGAAGAATTCTTCCTCAAACCAGTTCAATTGTCTGACGTGAGGAAATTGAGACCTCATTTGATTAAAGAAAAATCCACAAGGAATTGATGAACAAGAACAACGAAGAACTCCGCCACTAATTTTAATTCCGATTTTAGTCAATTCTGTATAGAACTAGAGTTGTTCTAACCACAGATTTTCTTGCGAAACTAACAAAAATTGTATAGATCTGCGGTTCAATTTTGCCTGATAATTTATCGAATAATTTTTAATTTTTCTATTTTTCTGTTAGTTTTTTTCTGATATGAAACCAATAATTAATATCAGATCTCATCTTGATTTGTTATCATCTTATTTGAATTTTCTATTTTTAAATAAATAACAATTGAGCTGTTAATTTTTTTTTCTTTTCAAAAATTAGTTATACACATTTATTATAATTCTATTTAATCTTATAATTACTTATTCTTGCATCATTTAATAATATATCGAAATAGTTTCAAATTGAATTTATATTTGAAAATAAATAAATAAACATTTTACTTATTAATATTTTATTTTTTTTTATTAAAAACAAAATTTTGAATTAATTAAATAAGAAGAAATAATTAATAATTTATTTGAACATTAATTATATATTGAAAATAAGTAATGAAAATGAACGGTGATTAATTATTTGAACAAATATTAATTTAAATCATTTTAATATATAGAAATCTGGATTGATTTTAAATTTGGTTGTCCATTTTAATAAATAATAATAATACATTTTCTTTTCTTATTTTCCTTATCTTCCATCACATGGAATATAAATAAATTGTCATTGATGAGTTGTTTTTGAAATTCATTTACAATTATTGTATTTAAAGATAATGCATATATTCTTTATATATATATATATAATTCCTCATTTGGATGGAGCGGTGATTTTATTTTATTTATTTTTAAGAATAAAATTTGAATAGAGATTTAAAAGAGATTTGATTCCAAAATTTATTAAATAATAATATTTTAAATTTGATCCTCCATTTAGTTTTTAAAAAAATTTAAATTAGTGAAAATTACCTTTAATTGCAGCCAATCATCTTAACGTCTCTTTTTTATAAACTAAATTCATAAAAATATTAAATATTTATTTTTAAAAATAATATTAAAAAGTTTGAAAATGATAAGACCATTTTCGTCCTTATATTAATATTAAGAATTTTTTTAACACCTTTTTTTTTAATAAAAAATAAAATAACATGACTAGTTAGAAACATGGCTCTGATACCCCTTGTTATGAATAAATATAACTCTATATCTGTATAATTGTACGATGTTGTCTACTTTAGCTATAAATTACTCTTAGAATCACCCAAAATATCTCGTACTAATAAAAATATTATCATTATCCATATATTCCCTTTATATATTAAACAGAGGACTTTGATCACATACCCAACTTATAGAATTGACTGTTTGTGTAGTTCGAGAAGTTGATTAATACATTAATTTAATTGGTCAAATCAATTCTCTAGAACTTCTCCCGTGGTTCTAATATCATTCGTTTTGATGAACTTTATGTCAGTTCGACTCTGATTGATTTTAGACTCGAATGGACTTGATCTCAATTATCTTTAGTATAGAGTTGAATTATTTGAATTCTGGTGAATCTTTAGACTCAGTTGGGTCAATTCTTACACTTTGTATAAATCGCCACATGTCGTGATCCGATTAGCTTATTTATCTTAAATTAATGACATAAATGACCCACCATTGGCAAAGTGGTGTCCTTGTAGGATTATATTAGCTTGTGTTTTTTTAATGGCATGTCAACCATTTAAAGAGAAATTGAAACAGCCCATGTAAAATTTGGGCCTCACATGGGCCTACAAATGGGCCTACAAATGGGCCAGCACTGCAAAATTGCCCTATTTTAAGTTCCCTTATCCGAACAAGGCACGTGTAAAATGACCGTTGTTTTTTCAATTAAATTTTTGAAATATGAAATTCAAATTTGTGTCTGGTCTCTATTTTAATGACATCGTTAACTTTATAATTTTTTTAAAAAGATAAAAATAATTATTAAAAAAAATAATTTTAATATATAATTTTAAAAAAATTAGAACTTTTTTCCTCTCCTTATTGATCTACTCATCGTAGCTACTGTCGTCGTCATCTTCTTCTTCTCCTTAACTGCCACATTGATCACCGACTCGTCGAGCTAATGACTTAAATAGGCATATGTCAAAATTTAAATAAAAATTTGACAAATATAGTCCATAAAAAATTACATAATTACACCCGCAACTTAATTTACAGGGATTAGAAAGTCTTAAAAAAAATCTCCAAATAGTCATTACACGTGTACTTGAACATTACTCGATGTATTAAATCTAACAAACTTTGAGTCCTCCGTCAACTTGTTCCAGTAAAATTATGTCTTGTACTTTAAAATTTAAGTTATAGTTTATAACAATTCTGTCTGTGTCTATGTACTTTAATTTTTTTTTTATGATTTTGTCGTTACATCAAAATACTTTTAAGATGGATCGGATGAGATTTTTTACACGTGTAGGTCAATGAATTAATTATAAATAATATATATTTGAATATTTTTAAGATCCATCCGACCAGATTTTGTCGTTGAGTTAATATATGGTTAATAATTAATTTGGACTGATTTTTTAATGGTAAGATTTAATTGGATTAAGTTATTTGCACATTTCTATTTTTATGAATAAAAAATTACATTATATCATATATATAAATCAATAAAAAGACAAAATATATATATATATATCATTAACGTGGGACTTGCGGCAATAATAAGAAATTTAAACTTATTTAAAATGAGGGAAGGATTAATTAAGTAATTTAATTTTTTTAATTTTTTTTAATATTTATTATATTTTTTTAATAGATATTTTATCAATATTTACGTTGATGGGGCCGGAAAGATATTTTATATCTCTGCAACACTGAACTTCTCTGCTTCTGGATTTCTAGTGGCAATGGCTTCCTTCACTTCTGCTTCCTTGTGCATTCCAAGGCTGATTTCTTCTTCGAAACTTTCCAAATTCAATTTCTCTTCATCTTCATCTTCATCCCCTTCCACCTCGCTGAGTTTTCGAGTGGTTTGTTCCGGTGGGTTTCGGCAGCCCGATGCTCCCAAGGATTTCCGCTTCCTTCTCCACGATGCTTTGGATTCTTCTGGAATTGACTCCACCTATGCTAAGGTAACTTCTGGTTTGTTTACCGGCTGCCTTTGATTCAATTCACGTCCCTTGTTTAGTTGGTCTTTAAGTTTTAAAACTTCAGTGTGTTCTGCATTCTTTTCGGTAGAACTTGTTTTAGATAATGGAACCTGTTTTAAGAGAAATTATGAGTGTGGTAATTTGCTCTTAAAACAAGCTAGATGCTAAAGATTAGAACTAGATTTACGAAGTTTATTGAATTTTCGTAGATGAAGAATGAATGTTTATTGAACTTTCTTGGTCTTGGATCATAGGTCCAATCTTTAGAAGACCATGATGCTTATCATCTTATAATTTGTATGGTATTTAATGTAAAACTTCGGTAGTTTGATATTTTTGCTCTGTGCTTTGACAATGTTAACCTAACATGGTTAAGAAAAATGAAAGAACATTTTGCTGAAATTAGTCAAATAAATCTTATTTTGGTGGTCAATGACTATGCAGGAGGCTAGGAAGGGTTTCTTGACTCAGATTCATTATTTATCTAATATAGAGAGGGAAACCAGTATTAGCATTAATAGGTGTGTTGATTTGGCGAAAGCTGCTCTTTATATTGCAGCAGAGGATGATTCCTTGGTATCTCATTCATCTGTTCCTCTTCCGGTCGATGCATTTGTTCATAGAATAAATGACCTTTCCATGGGCTATTGTACTCACTACAAATCTTCATTCAATTTATCACCAGAAAGTTTATTGGAAAGTATAGAGAGGTATTTGTACGTCATGAAGGTAAGATTTTCAAATTTGACAAACGTGTACCTTTACTGTATATAAGTATAATGCTTTTCCCATTTCTGCCCATGACGTATTTCAGGGTTTCAGAAGAACCAGTTGTAAAGCTCAAACAGAACCACGAGCTCTATATCTTCACACGGTAAAAGATTATGCCCTTTATTTTCAATTTTGAGTCTATTGTTCTTTTTTTTTAATGGAATTGAATTATTGTTTGTTGTCAGGTCTTGACCCATCGTACAGGCTCAGCTGCACTACTGTCACTCATATACTCTGAGATTCTTAAAATGCTTCGTTTATGGAGCCTTCTGGATTTTGATGTTGAGATATATCATCCTCATGATGATTTTAGCCTCCCCACAGCCTATCATAAACTCAAAGGCAGGGAATCTGATCAACCACACATAATAACAACCCAAAGTCTCTTGGTGGAGGTAATTTCTCTTGGTCCTATCAAAGGTAGATAATTAAAAAGTTGAGGAGTTGTTGAAGATGTAGTTATTTTGTCTAACCAAGTCAACCAAAAAACAAATTGAATCATTAGTAAATCAAAGTTTCTTATTCATCTTATGGTAGCAATATTTGGCTGATGATGTTACGACTTACAATTTTTTGGGAGCTTCTAGATTTTCTACTAAGATGCTAAAATTAATGTCCTTTATAGCACAACAGAGTTATAATTATTATCTTTTCAATCTAGATAAGTTCTGATTTACTCTTTTTGTATGTGTGTTCTTGAATGCAGATTCTAAGCAATTTAAAGGAATCTTTTTGGCCTTTTCAACAAAATCAATCCAGAAGTTTATTCTTAAGGGCGGCTGATGTTGCTAACTGTAGTGATAGATCGAATGCAGCTGAGGAAAGGTATTTCAACTATTTAAATCAGCAGGATAGCCTACTTTTAGAGAAATATATACTTCCATCTAATCTTCTTGCATCATCAAAATCACCATTCAATTACTCTTTACATTGGTCACCCCCTCCCCTTTCAATTAGTGCTTGCCGGTATGTGTATTAATATCACTGCTTCTTGCATTTTCATATTTTTCAGTGGCTTTCAGCTTGCGTCTGCAAAGGCTGCTCAACACAGGCTAGAACGTGGAGTTTGGACCAGTGTGCGTTATGGAGATATGAGGCGCGCATTATCCGGTAATCTACCATTCTTTCTCTTCGAGTTTGTTAGCTACAGTCTATTAAAAAAAACCTCCACCTAAAGGCCTTTTGAATACTTATAAATCCCTTTTTTATTTAAGAATGTGAAATTGAGGGATATCACAATTATTTGGTTATTTGAAGGACCAAGATTTATATCGGTTTTAGATGCACCAAACTGGTAGTATAAGGCTTGCTGGGGATAAACTGAGGAAACACAGCCTACATCCTGGTATTCTCAAGCCTTGCTAGTCTCCCAATTGTTTTCCTGTCATGTAACGTCTAGCGTATAATGCAAACAAAAAAAAAAAAACGAGGAAAGGTGAAGAATCTTGTTGGCCATATTAAATTGATGCCAGCATTGTGTTTATTTCTAACTGGATTTTTTTGAAGGATAGAGCTACTGATGTGATATCCCACGTCGGTTGGAGAGGGGAACGAAACATTCCTTATTAAGGGTGGGGAAACTACTCCATAGCATACGTGTTTTAAAAATCTTGAGAGGAAGTCCATAAAGGAAAACCCAAAGAGGACAATATCCGCTAGCGGTGGACTTGGGCTTGGGCTGTTACAAATGGTATCAGAGCCAGACACCGAGCGGTGTGTTAGGAGGATGCAGGGTCCCCCATGGTGGTGGATTGTGAGATCCCACATCGGTTGGAAAGGGGAACGAAACATTCTTATAAAGGTGTGGAAACCTCTTCCTAGCAAACACGTTTTAAAAACTCCGATGGGAAGCTCGAAAGAAAAAGTTCAAAGAGGACAATATTTGCTAGTGGTGGACTTGGGCTGTTACAACTTATTGGAATCCCAAATAAACCTTAGCAAGCTAAACGTTGGTCCATTGGATCTCAGTACAAACCTCATTCTGTACCCCAATTAGGTCCCCAACTTCGCACATGGATTCTAAAAGCATGAACAGTTCTTTCTTTTCTTTTTAGTTTTCTCTCATCCACATTAACACAAATATATTCCGTTCTCTTCTTAAGGAAAAAGGCTCTGTTACTTCTACCTTTACTTGATCTTTATCTGTAAGCTTAGTATTCCTCCTGCAGCATGTGAACGGCTTATCCTCCTTGACGTTGATCCAAAGGAATTGAGAGATTATAGCATTCTTCTCTACCATTGTGGCTTTTATGAGCAATCTCTGGAGTATTTGAAGTTGTATCAGGAAACAAAGGTACGTTCTATATATGCAAAATGAAAAAAAAAAAAAAAAAAAAAAAAA